GTACACGTGGGCATTCCTCCAAGCCCCCGACTTACAAACAAGTTCCCTTTCTGGGAGAATGTTTTTGTAAGTCAGATTCATTTCTAAGTCCAACAAAGTGAGTCTCAGGTAAAAAGATGCATCTTGCTCACCCTTCACATCTTCAAACAGACTTTTAGCTTCTTTTCGAAAAAGCATTAAGCTGAATGGGACTCGATACCGATGCTCATCGTGAATCCACGCACTGAGAAGTAGCACGCTTTGGGATATTATCGTTGACTTCACGGGCACAGCAGACGTCACATGTTCCACGATCTTGTCCTTGTCCTTTAGAATTGTGCCAATGGCTGAATGATTCCCGTTATACGAATGAGTGACGTCTACCATTTTCTGGTCCAATCTATTTGTACTTTTGTTTGCCTAGTTATTGCTTTGCCCTTCCTACCAGGCCCCCCTCCATCACCACTGCTTTTCCTCTTGCTTCTGGACTTCCTGGGTGCTGAATGAGCACTGTACAACTGTACACCATCGCACTGTGCAGTAAGCACACAGCACCACAGCTGTGACAATGTCTGGCAGACATGTAAAGTATTCTGGCAATTTATCTGCACCCACGAATGTTCTTAACACCAAGTCTGTTCCTGCCTGTGAAAGTTCACAACTCAAACATCTGTAAGTTGGGGACTTACAGTATGAGAAGTCTTTCTAACTCTGCTGGATTTGGGAGTGCTGTCTCCACAGCATTGGAGCCCTACAATCCAGATGGTGAACCAGGCGAAGCTTCTAACTGGGACGCTCACACAGAGCCTAATCAGAGTCAACAGTGCGTTCTTGACAATGGGCTTAAAAACTCTCTTAAGGGCCTCCCACGGAGGGACTAACAGCACTGATTCTCCTAAGGCCAGGGGAGATGTCTGGGCACATAAATTTTCTCAACACATTTGCTGCTCTTTGCCCACCTTATACTTGGAGGATAAAGTTTTTTAAGCTTACCATATTTTTCAACTTACTGAATGGAAAACCTGATTCAACGGCTATTCCCCTCACATAAAAAGAACGAGCTGGTGTGACTCAGGTGACACCTCAGGGAAGTCCAATGCATGATGCTACCTACATACTGCCTGATTCCGTCTCAGGGTCATTCTGGGAAAGGCAGAACCACAGGGAGAGAAAGTAACCAGTGGTTGCCAAGGACAGGGGGATGAGGGGTGGAAGAGCTGACTGTAAAGGGACACAGGGGAATTTAGGGGTGACAGAACTATTTGATGCTCTGATCTGTTATAACTGACAAAACTGGATTTAAAAGGCTGAACTACAATGTTGATAAATTTTGCCTTAATAAACATGACCTCAGGGCCAGGGTTTAGCTCAGTGGCACTGCATCTGTTCACAAGCACAAGGTCCCGAGTTCAACACGCCCCTCCACCCTGTAACAAAACCACAACCAAAACAAACAAATATGACTTCTAAAACAACCTGCAAGATTTCTGTCCCCCAGGAAGGTATGTGTGGTTACAGGTGAGCAGCCACCGAGGATGGTCTCCACTACACACTGTGCTCATGCCAACAGCCCAGCCAGAAATAGAAACCACTCAAGGGACTCCAGTCAGAAAGGAATTTGAAGGAGGAATCCAGGGTTTACAGAAATGGATGAAAGGGCTAGAGAAGACAGGGGAGGTCCAGGCTTTTAAAAACAAGGACAAACCATGGTACACAGCTGTGATCCACACCTCAGGAAGCCACCTTCACATGCACAGGCAGATGGGATTAAGGCTACAGAGGGCGGCCACCACCACTGCCGCTGAACGCGCAGGTCTCCCTGACTTTGCCTGCCAGCAGCACCGGTAGGAACTTGGTCTTCTAAACCACATACACACTCACAGTCACGCAGCTGGGAATCCAGCTACAAGAAAGTCAGGGACATGGAGATGTTGGGCTCCAATCTCTCCAACCAAGGGGGTGGAGTGGGGCTGGGGATGCACGCGCAGTGGCACAGCTGTGCTTAGCATGTAGAGGTGCTGGATTCAGTTCCCAGGACCAAAGGGGAGGGGACCCTGGAAATGGAAAGAAGATAGAGAGCCAGTCTACAGTACAGACCCCAATCACTACCCTTCTTGTCCTAAAACAAGGCATTATTCAATAAAGCACAACAAAGTCCTTTTTTCTATCTAAATTTAAGTTTCAAATGCTGTTACAGAGACGAAAAATTGTTCTAATGGATGAAACCAAGATCCTAACTCATTTCATTATGGAAAAAATATTTTATTCTCACATTTAGTTAGTTCTAGCCCCAGTAGAATAAAAAGTTGAGATCACTGCATTTCATAACAGCAACCACAGTTACCTTATAACTCGGGTATAAAACACACTTTTCTTCGAGTTCTTGTTCTGCTGGGAATTAAGCAACCTAAGCTTGAAAACATAATTGTTTCCCAGATATAAGTTATCCCAAATCAGCAGCAGGCAGGGACATTTTGAATCCCAACTGTCACTTCCAAAGACCTAAAACACGACTGAACAACAAACTAGGAGAAAACTGTTTATTTAGCTAATGTACCACAATAACTATAATTCTTAAAATTAGTACCCCAACAACTGCCCACATAACTATATTCTGTGTATCAAGAGGATTAAGGAACCTTCTCCTAAGGAAGCTTTAGCCTGTAAGAACTTCACTTGGTTCCTTCTGGAGTTATTTCTCCATATTGTACAGAAGGGAGGCAATGGAAACATTTTCCTTTTTCTGAGAGTAAAAACTACTTGGTGGATTTTGCTACTTTCTTCAACTACTAGGACAAAAAAAAAAAAAAAAAAAAA